ATCATTGGCATTTGTGATGACAAGTAGCGTGAACTCTGGTATTTCTACTAAAATATTACCAAAACCTTCCACATCCAGCCGCCCTAAAGGAATAGACATGGTATGCTCACCATAGACCCTCTCTAATCCGGTGTAACCCAGCCCATCCCAGAGTCAAACCAGAAAGGGAATTTAAGAAAAACAGAACATTAAGAACATTTCAATGTCAGAAGTGTGTTTCTAGTTTGACTTAACTTGTGAAACTGACAATTGGAAGGGTCTAAGGAACCATCTGATACTCCAGGCCTGTTCCATAAGAATCTTGGACTACAGGGGGAGCTAACTTGGGTACTGTCTGGTTTGCTGAATGAAGTGTTCTGGGAACAGAGCAGAGGTGTCAGTTTGGGTCTGTTTAGCACTGCATGTCTTTCAGCTCAGTCAAGGGTGCGCTCCAGTGCACCGTAGCTGCCCTTGAAGCCAGCCAGCTTGGAGAAATGCTTAGCATACTCAGAGGCATGACTTTCAGACAGATTGTATTTGGGAAACCAGGAAGCATCTTCCTTACTGTCATGGCTTACAGAGGTACTGCTTCCTGACAGAGCAGGCTCTGATTCTGGTCAGGGACCACTCTTGCGGCATGCTTCTTCACCGCCATCTTGTAGGACAATAGGGGCCCTTGTGGGCTCTTCTGCAAAGATGCTAGTGCTTTTCAGATCCAGGCAGTAGGAGCCGAATGATCATTGCTTGGGAAATGGAGCTGCTGGTCTGTAGCATGAAATGGGATCCCCAGTGCTTTCAAGCTATGGAGGTAATTGCTGAGGTATTGATTTTCCCAGGTCTCCTGCTACTGCCAACTGCCAACTTAATCCTCAAAGGCTCAGGCTAAAGCTTGACACCCTGCTTCCTTGAGAGTGGGGTGCCAATTAATTCCTTCAGGAACTGGAGGTAGTGCCTCTCAGAGTGCATGAGGTACTCTTAAAGATGCCATTTCAGTGTTTCATTTGCATTTTCATAAGTGTGATACAACTAACAGTGTAAATATTATTGTATGACATCACACATATGATCCTTAAGGCAGCTAGTTGTTTACTGCAGCTCCTGCCTTTGTATCGGTAACATCAGGAATGTGACAATGCCTAGATTCTCCTGTCATTTTCTTAAGAAGGATGTCCAAGAGGACAGGTATGAAAATATGGCTGCATGGGAAATGAGAGGGATAAGGCTTTAGGAAATGGGGACTATATCTTTCTGTTTCACTTTGACAAGAGATAGGCAGTGCAGCAAGAAAGTGTGGACACTGGCTTCCTCCTCAAGGGTTAGGGCTCCTGTTGCCGTGGTAACACTGGTGTGCCTGTGGTTTGGCAGACTAGAACAAGCACTCTACCTTTTGTAGATTAATTCTAGAATTAATCATTATAGCAGGATTTGTTTTGTTTGTTTCATTTCTTAGTGGTAAGAAGCTTTTTAGTTCAGCTTAGCCTGCCAAGGGGGTTCTTTTGATCCAGGTCTTTCTTTAGTTTAATTAGCTGTTGGATAGGTTACAAGGTTAGGGTCTGATTGACTGACACTTAGCAAGGGAAGATCCAAGACGGTTTCAGAAAAGGGGTCGGGGTGGGGCTCCTAAATGATCTCTAGTAATTATATTTCCCTGATAGAAATAATTAAAAATTAAAAAAACATAAAACCCATAAACTCTTTTAAGAGTGACTTGGGTGAATTATTAGTTATAAAAGCACATGGACTGTACTAGATTGTACTAGATTGTACTAGATCATACCTTGGCTAAAGAAAACAGCCCTTCTGGAATTGATTTCACTGATTTGCAGCACAGCGAGCAGGATTCATGTTTTAGGAAACGTACTAAGGTCATGTGATTGAGAACATGCTACATAAATATCACACAGGTCTCTTGATAACATATTGAGACACCATCTTGAATGGTCTCAGTTCTAGGAAGACCTGTATTTCTTTTTAATGACTGTGCTGACATTACAATACAGGGATTTATTTTGATTCTTATAAAGGGAATTGTTTCTTTCTTTCTTTTGACTACCAGGAAGTTCGGAACTTCACATAAACACTTGTTTGATCACTGCCCACCAGCTTTATTTCATATTCTTACAATTGTTTCTTTTCCTCCTTGCTTAAAGACCTCTGTCACTAACACATGTGGTCTGTCATATGTCAGTCACCATCAGCTCCATTCCATAGACACTCTTGAGTCCTTAATCTTCCCCAGGAAAAGGGAACTCAGAAATATAACTGCTCTTTAATCATCGTGTTGGTTGAAAATACTGTTGTGTCAAAAATACATTTAATACATCTAACCTACCAAAGTCATAGCTTTTCATGTATTCTGTAATACACTTTAGAACACTGTCCCTTTAACCTACTGATGCAGTGGCTGACTGGGAGCTGAGGCTGACTTGCAGTGCTCAGTGTTGAGAAAGCATTGTGCTACCTCACAGTTCTAAGTACGTCTAAGCATGTGTCCCTTCCACACCACCACACAGTCAAAATATCAGCAGTCAAACCATCATATGTTATGAATCATCTGTAGCCCAAGGTAAAATAAATTCTAGGGTTAAGTAAATCAAATAAGCTGCCCTACCACATTGGCAAAGGGGAGTAGAAGTGTTGGTGAAGGAATTAAATAGGACAAATAAAACAAGGTGTTAGGATTTAAATATGTAAATATTCCTTAGAAGCTGATGGCACTATGGAAACCTTAGGTGGTGAAGCCTACCTGAAGGTCACAGGGGTGATATCTTTTTGTCTTATTTTGTCTGGGTTTCTCCCAATCTTTCTTTCTCTGTTTCTTAGCCACCATAAGGTAAGCAGTCTCTTCCACACATGGTTCCTACTGCCGTGGTACTCTGCCTATCCACAAGCCCATAGCTGACTGGAGGCTGACATCTCTGAAACCACAAGCCAAGATAAGTTTTCCTCCTTTTAATTTATTTATGTTAAGTATATCTTAAGCATTTGTCACAGCAATGCAAATCTAAGACAAAAGCTTTTCTTCCATGCCACTCGGCTTCCCATCTCATCTTTGTTCCATCATATCCCCAAGAAACTGGTGTGATAAGTGGTGTCCTCAGCTTGGGATGTTGCCTGCTTTGGAGGGCTTAGGAGGACTCCAAAATAGATCCTAGAAGAAAGGAAACTCATATTGTTGCTATTGAGACTCATCTTCAAATAGACTCAAGGTTCACTGTAACCCTGGTTCTGCTCACCAGGGTGTTTAGGGCAAAGTTCTAGGGAGAAAAGAAGAGTCTACGTGGGTTGTAAAGCACCTCTTATGCCTGTGTTCTTCACAGTGACCCCATCATGGTTCTAAACAGCTATCATAGGGATCTGAGTCCTTCTTAAGGCAACAGAAACAGCTGTGACAATTTCCTTATCTATTTATGTAACCCTGGTAGGTTGTGCTTATAGCTTTTGAAACTGCCATGAATCCCTCTGTGAGAAAAACAAGCTAAATAAAGAATACAAGGCTACAATGAAAACAGGGTGTCCTGCTCCCACTTATCCATCTCACTGCCATGATGCAAAAGTGAAAAAGAACTCGGGTTTCATGGAGCTTACAACCCAATCAGAGAAAAGTAAAGATGTAAATGAGTAAAACTGATTAACTTGTGTTCTAGTTTGCCTTCAATTGCTGTGAAAAAACACTCTGACCAATACCAACTTTCTGTCCTAGTTTGTTTTCCATTGCTGTGAAAAAACACTCTGACCAATACCAACTTGCGGAGGAAAGGATTTATTTGGCTTATATCTCCTGGGTCACAGTTCATCAGGGAATCCATCACAGGAACTCGGGGCAGGAATCTGAAGGCGGGAGCTGGAGCACAGGCCATGGAGGAATGCTGCTTACTGGCCTGCTCCCTGGCCCCTGCTCAGCCTGACTTCTTATATAATACAGAACAATCTGCCCAGAGGTGGCACGGCCTGCAGTGGGCTGGACCCTCCTGTATCCCTCACAAATCAAGAAAATACACAACAGTCTTGTCACAGGCCAGTCCAACTGAGGCAGTTTCCCAATTGAGGCTCCCTCTACCCAGGTGTGTCAAGTTAACAACTAACAAGCACAATTGTCAACTTGAAACACAAACACACTACTATTATACCACAACCTTTCCATTTCTTGTCCCCAAAATACAATGTTAACAGTATCACAACATAAGACAGTACAACCTTAAAAACCCCACAGTCCTTAAAAAGTCCAAACCCTTAAAAGTCCATAGTCACTTTTTAAAAAATCTCTTAAACATGGGCGCCTATAAAATCCAAAAGAAGCACTGTCTTATTTCAAAAGGGAAGAATTGGGCACACCTAAGCAAAACCTAAGTCCAGCAAAGCAGTTCAAGGCTGGACATCTGGGATCCACTCACGGTCTTCTGGGCTCCAAAGGGTTCTGGCAGCTCCACTTCTCTAGCTCTGCCATCCACAGCACACACAGCTTGTCCCACAGACCTAGTCTGGCTCCATTCCATACTTGTTGCTGCCCTTGTTGGTCATCCTATAGACCTGGCATCTCCAAAAAACTGGTGTCTCTATTGAAACTGAGACTCCACCTTCACCAATGACATCTTCTGGCCTCTTGGAATACAAAGCCTCAGATTCTCCCCATGACCCCTTCAAACCTGGGACCTTCCTGCAACTGAGGCTGCACTTTCACCAATGGCCTTTACTGGCCTCTCAGGGTGCCAAGCCTCAGTTGCTCTCTGTGACCCCTTCACACTTTCAACACCAGAACCATGCAGGAGACTATTAGACAGTAACAAGTCCTACTTCCAGCTTGAGATGGAGGCTTGGGTTCCTTCTGTATCACAGCTTCTATGCGCTGACCCTGAGGAAATACCTCCCAGATTTCACCACAATGATGCTGGTCACTTGTTACTTGCAGCCTACGTTTCAGCCCCAGCTAACCATCATCAATTGTCCCAGTTAAGCAAAGGTTTCACTTCAGTGGTTCTGGTCTCCTTTTTCTTTTTCTTTCTTTCTTTTTTTTTTTTTCTTGATATCTGTGACCTAATTTATCCCTGAGTCCAGGCAAAGGGCACAGGGCCCATGAGTCACAGTATTTCTACGGCAGCCTTTTGGGCCAGTGCCTGCCATCAGTAGGGTAGGCACTGAACTTGACATGGCTGCACTTCTGGTCTCTTCTTAATCACAGCTGACTCTTCAGCCCCAGCCAACCATAACCCACAGCTTCTCAATTCAAGATATCACACAAACAGCCCTGATAGTCTCTACTTCCCTTTGAAACTTCACAAGCCAGGCCTCCATCATCTACAACTCTTTCAGCATAACCCTTTCAAGCTCTACAGCAACAAACTCTAAGCACTCAATGGCTTTTCCAGCCCAAAGTTCCAAAAGCTTCCACAATCCTCCGCAAAACACCAAGGTCATGTCTGTCACTGCAATATTCTGCTCCTGGTATCAATTTCTATTCTAGTTTGCCTTCAATTGCTATGACAAAATACTCCAACCCATACCAACATAGGGAGGAAAGAGTTTATTTGGCTTATAACTCCCAGATCACAGTTCATCAGGGAGCCCACCACAGGAACCCCGGGCGGGAACCTGGAGGCAGGAGCTGGAGCAGAGGCCATGGAGGAACGCTGCTTGCTGGCTTGCACCCTTGGCCCCTACTCAGCTTGCTTTCTTATACAATACAGAACAACCTACCCAGAAGTGGCACTGCCTACAGTGGGCTAAGCCCTCCCACATCACTCATAAAGAAAATACCCTACAGACATGGCTGCAGGACAGTCTAACGGAGGAAATTCCCCAATTGAGGCTCCCTCTACCCAGGTGTGTTATGTTGACAACTAAAACTATCCAGCGAAACTTGCTTCTGACTTGATACCTTCTATGATGAAAATGCATAAGGTCTGGCAGATGCAAAAAAAAAAAAAAAAAAAAAAAAAAAAGAGACTGCAGGCAAACCTTGATTTATTAAGATTTAAAGAAAGCTTTTCTGAGGAAGGTAAATTTGAATAGAGATGTAAATGAAGAATAGAAAGAAGAAGTTACCTTGAAAAGGGAAATATATGTTAAATATTTATCATTTACAATGTTTTCAATGAAAACAGAGAGGTAACTAAGCATACTTAGTCTAGGTATGATGAAGCTTTACCTCCTGGCCTTTCTAGGTAGTTAGGAAGATAGTGGACCTTTAAAAATGCAAAAGAAAGATTGGCCATAGAATAGTTGAAGACTTATTTTGCCAGGTATTTTTTGTTTATGAGAAGATATCGATTTCATTATGGTAGAATGATTAAATTTATAGCTGAGAGCATTTCAGCAGATCTTTTAGAAAATAAAGTGGTGGACACTGATGGTGCAGCTCAGAGTAGAGTGCTGGACTAGCACAAAACCATAGATTCCATCTCTAGCAGTATACAAACTGGATGTGGTGGTATACAACTGTAATTCCAACACTCAGGAAGTGGAGGCAGGAAGATTAGAAGCTCAAGATCATCCTCAGCTAGATAACAAGTTCAAGGTCAGCCCTAGATACATAAAATCCTGTCTCAACAAATAATAATAAAATAAAAGCAATGGGCCAATGAAATGGCTTAGTGGGCAGGTGCTTGTGTCCAAGCCTGACAACCTGAGTTTGAGGCTTTGGGGCCCACATGATAGAAGGAAAGAACTGACTCTCTTAAGTTGTCTTCTGATCTACACACACACACACACACACACACACACACACACACACACTGTAGCACATGTGCACAGACACAAGCATCGACACAGAGACACAATAAATGTAATAAGTTTAATTAATTGAGGTAAAAAATAAAATAATATAAAAGGGAAATTTTCAAGTTTATTAAGGAACAAAAAGAAAGGATCTTTTAGCTCTCCCTTCTAAAGCAATGAAATAAGAGACCTATATTAGTAAAAGTTCTAAGAAACAGAATCATGTGTACTGTCTTATATATATGACATGAATTTATTTTAAGGAACTGGCTCTCTCCATTGGGAAAAGCGTAAAAACTCTAACGTCTGTGGGGTCAGTTTAGTATGCTAAAGACCTAGGGAATGACGGCAGTTTGACTCTAAAGATGGTTCAGTGACAGTTTCCCTTTCCTTTGGAAGAGCAGGGTGTTTTAAATTAGTTAATGAATTAATTTCAACCTATGAAGTCCATGAACTATGGTAGTGTTTGTAGGGATAAATAAAGGGTTCTCTTCAAGAAATATCTGAAAAATAAGCAGAATTGGAGAAACAGATGTTGGCAAAGGCAAAAGAATTTGAGCTGCCTCCATGTGTTTAGTGGATTTGGGCTCTATTAAGTTCAAAATACAGGGAGATGAGTAACATCTACATTGAAGAAAGAAAGTATAAATATTTGATTAAAATAGTGAACTTCGACTTAGGTTAGATGTGGTAGGTCTCCAATAGAGACATTCAAAGTGTTCCATGAATATTAAGTTCAAAAGAGAATTGGGACGGTGAGACCAAGATGTGAAATTCAAAGTCATGCAGATTTTAGTATTCTTCAATAGTGCCATTGAAACTGACTAGAGTATGAAGACAAAATAGAAGTAGGTCAAGGGCAGAAGAGTAAGAACTCACAGATAGACTAGAATAGACAGAAAAAGAGAAAGGTACCAGGAACAGCCCATATTGTCCTTTGGAAAAGAAGAAACAATAGAGGTTATGGGATCAGCAGTGTCAAACAGTAAAGACTTTAAGGATGAGCACTTGTGCAGGCCCACACAATTCAACAGTTACAAGGCCACTGGCAGCTTGAGTAAGAACAGCTGCATCATAGATGGGAAGCCCCGACTCCCGACAACAGTGAGGAGAGGAGAGAGAATCTTCTCTCACACAGCCCTGGGGAAGAGGGAGATTTAGGAAGACCAAGGTAAAGGTCAGAGCGGAGTGTTTAGTTTGAGATCGTAGCTAGATGAAGGACAGGCGAGAGTCAAAGCATGAGAAGTTAGAGTGCAAAGAATTCCAGAGGTAGTGCCATGATAGCATATTTGTGGCTAGAGGAACATAGAGGATCTGATTACAAAAATAAGTGCATGTGGGGCTGGGGAATCTAAAAACAGAAAAGCTTTGTGATAATTGCCCTGATTTATTCAAAAGAAATAAGAACTGAGCCCTAAAACTGCGAGTGGGATGGACATCCGTGTGATTTGAAGCAGCTGCTGAGGTTTGAGATGGCAACAGGAGAGAAGATACTATAAATGGCCTGAGCCTAGCTCCAGATGCTGAATTACAGGATGTCAGTGGTTATTACTGTGTGGTGCTTCCCTAGCTGAATGGACACAGTAATGGAAGAGAGCATACAGAGTCAAGAGCACTGGAGAAGAGATGCTTCCAGTGGGCACCTGTTTCGTTCCTCTTCCTCTTTTACCTGAAAGTGCCTTTACAGTAAAATCCCTAAAGTCTCCACACTGCTTTGCCTTAAACCTGCCCTTCCTTCATGTCCTAATCTTTACTAGTCTTAACTATTTTATCTTAATATGGAAGAAAGTATAGCCAGAGTTTCACCTAATGGTTAAGAAAAGAAAAGGTCCCTCCAAGTCTCACACTATTAAACAAATAATAACAGCTTAGCTTCATATGATACATTTCCTTCCAACAACCCCCAGAAATCCAAATACGGAATCTTAAACACATGCATATGCATACAGGTGCGTATATTTGACACAGTGCAGACCTTTCATTGGGAAACTAAACACTATTCATGCTGAGTAGTTTTCAAAATTGTTTTCTTTTTGTGTTATTGAAAGGGAAGCAAATCTACTTCCTCTGTATTCACAGGAATGGAAATTAGTATTGGAAATAAGCAATTAAAATCCCCAAGATGATTGCATTAAAGACAAAATACAATAAGTTAAAAATACCATCTGGAGCAGACAAGAGCTGATATAGAGCCAGGAAGAAAATGGCCCCAAAGGTCCAGAATCCAAGGACAAGCTTTCTCTCCCCCTTTCCTCTCTACAAGGGGCAGGATTTCCACACACATGGTACTAGAGGCTTCCGTTCTGCCGCAGCCCTGGTTACAGGACCATATGTGCTGCAAGCTATACACACACAGGATGAGCTGGGAAATACATGCCAAGTTTTCCTTCTTGTTCCCTTGTGTTAAGGAGTTTAGATCTCACCCTTATTGCTGTAATACATTAAATTAGTTACAGAAACTTTTAATTATTTGATATTTCCTCCCTGCCCCATCCTTGTGACAGACTTTTTTTCTTCATTGGTCCCAAAGATCAGCATTGCAGTCCATTTGGGCCTGAAACCCATCTCATGGAAAATCTAATCAACTAATTGATTTGGCACTAAATTAAATTTTTGCCTGGTTAAAATATAAATATATTTTGACCTTGCGTCACTTTCAATTCAGAAATGTAACATTGCTGGTTCTTTCTCCCAACGCCTTTTAACCAGAATAGATCTTGGTATGCCATAACCCCAGATCTGAATCCTTTGTTATAGTTTTAAATTTAGCTTTTAAAATATAGTTTGAATTCATAAGACAGTCTAGATAGCTCCTGCAGTATTTTTCTATTTGGCCAATTTTATGAAGAGTTAACAGCTAGACATAATTTGTTAACCTTGGCAATGTTGACATTTGGGGCCAGAGAGTTCTGTGTTATAGAAAATTATCCTATGCATTGAGGGACGATAATAAACATAACCCTCCTCTACACTAGATACCAGTAGCCAAATTCTGCACTCCATCCCCTCAGCTGTGAAGATCAAAAGTATCTCTAGATGTCAAATATCCCAACATTACAAAACCATCCTTGATCTCAAGTCAGTAATTGAGGTAAGAAAATGGCCCCAAAGGTCCAGAATCCAAGGACAAGCTTTCTCTTCCCATTTCCTCTCTACAAGGGGCAGGACTGAAATATATCATCAAATCATGAGAAAATATTTCAGGAAGGGGAAGAAGAAGGAAGGAAGAGAGGGATGAGGGAGAGAGGAAAAGAGGGAGAAGAAGAGGGAAGGAGGAAGGAGGGAGGGTGAGAGATAGAGATGAGAGAGAGAGAGAGAGAGAGAGAGAGAGAGAGAGAGAGACATCATGACTGAATATTTGAGAAGTCCAGAAACTAAAAATTACAGGAGAGGAAAACTGCACTGAGCAGGGATAAGGGACAGAATAAAGGGAAAGACACT